TCACACATAAATAAATATAATGTAGTCAAATTATTTCTATGGTAAGATAAAAAAACTGCTTCAATTATTAGTAATATAAGACAAATATTTTAGTTACAAGAATTGTTCAAACATAATACTCACCTTTTTGTTTGAATTTTCAGTTGCCATCACAATTATCATCAGAAGCAAAGATTTAATTCAAAAGTTATTGAAAAAAAAAATCCTGTGAATAGGATAACCCTACCTGAGATTATGGTCCATCCTTTTATGACAAAGTCTGTTTCTGCACACAAAGTATTTTCCAAACCATTGACAAAAGATCAGCGTAAGATTTTGCAACAACATCAAAATACTAATTCTTCTTCAAGTCAGGATAGTGGAATGCATACAATGAGCAGCAGTGATGGTACTCCACAAACAGATATGGGGATTCAACTAAATTTGGAAGTTGTCGGTAAGGACAATAGCACTTGCAGCTTTATTCAATAGTGAATACATTTATTAAATGGTTCTATTTTTTATGAATACATTTCAACATTTAAAGTTGAACAGAAATCTATACCAACAATAAAATTACCTCTATTTTAATGATGATTTCTTGATTTTTTAGTTAAAAGTTTATTGGGTTTTCAAGGCTTATATAATATTTATCAAATCAAGAACTATATTCAAAATAAAATTTCAAAAGAATATATAATATATAATCTTTATTTGATTTTTAGGTCTCAATCAGAAGAATGTTTAACAATGTCTGAAGCAAAATCAAATATGCTATATCAATCTAATTGCAAGAATGATATTCTGTAGGTTCTTGTTATGGATCATTAAACAATAATTTTTCATTAAATCGACAAAGCAATTCCTTACACCGAGAATTCATGAAAAATAGCCAACAATCAAATAATAATATGGGATTAGATAGATATGGTTTGGATGCACCAAAACAAACATCTGTACCAGGAAACAAAGTTAAAACGACTCACTCAATTCATCAGAGATATTGCGATTGTGATGACCCAATTTGCAAAACCAGAAGACAAATTTACAATAAACCAGATACAAATGAAGCCAGAGAAGTATTTACTAGACAAAATCCTAGTACTGGTATGAATAAATATGACTTTTGCACTAATAAAAAACAAATTGATCCTGGTGGAATTGCGGCTCTTGGAAAGAAGTATACTCAAAATGCTATTGTTAGTGAAAGAAAGATAAATATTGGGAATGAAGTAAATTACTTTGGAGAGAACATAAATATTGACAGTTGTATGCAAGGTAATTATTATTTGACAAAATCTACTTATTATTGAATTAATATCATCATATATGTTTTCAATAACTAACAGTTCACAAAATGATTATGGAACTCTGTAGAATTATTTTGATTTTCATCTACAGTACTTCCTGACATTATTAATGTTTATTATCTGTTCATAATAAACTATTAAATTCTCTATACTTATTAGCTTAATGTTATGAGTCTCTAGGATCATAATAAATTACAGTGAAAAATCATTTAACTACCATTTCTAAATGGTAAATTTCTAAAAATAAATAAATAACAATAAAATTGTAAAACCAAAGTTCCAATGCACAGAACTTTTTTTTTTATTTGATTTAATTAATTTGTTTTATCATAATCTAAGGTTTTTTTTAATTATTTTAATTTAGTGAAGATATAAAAGTAATTTTAAATTTTTTTCAAATTTTATGTAAAATTTTGCATTCGTCAGTATTATTTCATTTGTTTGATTACTTCACAAAAAACATCTAAAAATTTGTTGTCAAAAATTACTTTGGTAAAATTTTTAGTTATAATACAAATTTTTATTATTCAGAGACGCCAAGAATTCCTCAAAACAGATTTCGAGCTAAGGATGCTAAACCGAATTGTTTAGAAGGCAAAATGCAGCATTATAAGCAACATAAACACTCTAGTGAGCAAGCAATTGCTTATAATAATGCACAGCCTGTTCGTGGTGAGTGTAAAATATATTTGAAACTAGTTGTAAGTAGCATTTTGCTATTAAGAGAAGTTGCATGAACCTTTCAATATGCTTAATAAAATTTGATTAATTTGGAGATCAATGATGGGAGAAACTATTGCGGATTATTCAATTTTGAACCATTTTTTCTTATTAAAAATTATTGAAAAATTAACACATATCTTATTCATGGAGTTTTTTTCTAAAATACCAGGGTCGGTTAATCCAAATTTTAATCAATTTTTATAATTAATTCCCTTTTTTCTATAGGGTCAGTATAATATTTTAGTATGTTCATTAAAGTCAGTCTATCGTTTCATTAAATTCGCCGAAAAAAAAATTTAAAATCAATTACAAGGAAGCGACTTTAACGATTTTTTTCAAAAACTAATCAGCACGATCTAAAAATGATATCTTTCAAATAATTTTTGATATTTCAAAATCGGTTCAGAATTTTTGGCTAAAACGTGGACGATATAATTTGCTATTAAAAAACGGCAAGGCCGATCGTCGCGGAAATATAACCAACGTGTGTCCATACTGCGTTTTATCGAATTTATTGGCTTATAAATTTTGTGTAGTCGGTAAAGCTGTTTTTGAGAAAACGTCGATGAAAGTTTTAGTTTTGGATTACATACTCAGGCACAAATACTTTGCCTCATTTTGGTTTCAAACTTTTCAGAATGACTTGAAATGTCGAAAAAAAAACTTAGCAAATCGGATTTTCTTGCGAAAACAAACTTCTACTTCGGGAAGTTAATTATTATGAGTTATTGCAATTTGTAAACATTTTTGGTATTTGTAAATATTATAAAAATGCATATTTAAGGATTAATAATTAAAATTTATATCTTTTGTAATTTATGTTAATGAATCCTTCAAATTTTATTTAGAATTATTATTTTATTACAGGTTACGAATCTGAACAACATATGTTAAATGTTGACTGTAACAGTATCGGTACTGTTCCATCAAGCACCACCCAAGGCTATGAATCTCAACAAGACCAACACAACTTCAATAGAGATTGTGGTATGACTCCTGGTGCTACAAGTTCCAATGAAAATTTTTCTGAAGGTAAATTATATTATTATATTACTTATTTTTTCGTATAATGTATGTTGTGCCTGAAAGAATTATTTCTATAGATTTATGTACTTGCTTCTGTAAAAATTAATATGTGAGGTTGATTCTTATTGATACTCGATACAACAGATTGACTTATTATATTTAACAATTACTTTGACCCTATTGTAAATGTTTCTACACTTTATTTTAAGTATTTAAGGGTGCTCTTCACTTGCGGACATCAAATGATATTTAAATATCTCGAATATATTAACATGTTAGTCACCTTTTTTTCATATGATCTATTTCTAAATGAACTGATAAACAGCATAACATATAGTGAATAGGCATCTAATTAATTAATAGCACCAATATCATTTACAAATACATTATAATGGCAATATATGTATGTACTTGATAAATTTGTTTGTTTGTTATTTATCGATTAGTTTTCTACAAATTTGATTTTTTTTACAGACGATTATCCATTTAATGAAAGAATTGGTGTGCCACCTCTAAATACAATACGATTGCAGGCGACAAGGCATAGAACAAAAAATGCCATACTTAGTATTACAACTACAGGTATCCTATTCTATAATTTTATTCATTATTATAATACCAAAATTATACATGTCTACAATCCGTGTTTTAGGAGAAGTTGTAATTGAATTCATTAAAAAAAGAGGTCGCGCTAAAGAGGAAAAAGTGACTGATGTTTGTAGGATTTCTGATGATGGGCTTCGAGTGGTTTTGTATCAACCTGATGAAGGAAGGTACGTTAAATATGAGTTTGATATTAATTTGGATGAAAAATAATTAAGATTGGCATTTGTTATTTGAATAAGTTAAAATTACTTTATAAAAACTTATTGCATATGATTTAATCAATATTTTTTAGAAGATTTTCAGTTGCTTAAGTAGGTGCTTTTATTGCTATAGAATAGAATCTATTTAAGTTGAGTCATAATACAAATTAAAACATTATTTATCTTAATATTTTTTTATTGTCAGTATAAATGTATTGAGATATTCACTTAAAACGGGTTATTCTTTAAAAAAGAGGGTTTAGTTACACTTTCTATTTCTCTGTTTAGTTGAGGTTTGTACTTATACTATTATGTTGGAATTTATAATGATTATTGTTATTATGTAGTTGTGGAAATTAAATTTCAAATTACTATTACTCAGTTGATCACCATCTCAAAGATAGTTTAAATGACTTTCTTTCAATTCAATGACTTATATTTGATTTCCATTCGATGAACTTGATAAACACCCACATTAGTTAGTTTTTTTGTAAGAATTATTGCCATAAACTTTTAGAAAACTAATGTTATTTTTGTAGCCATAATTCATTTCAAAATAAAACTTGAAATCCAGAATAATTGAGCTTAAAAACTGATTTTGCAAAATATATGTAGGAGACTTTGCAAAATGTGAAAGAATTAGCATTTACAATATTTTAATATTTTTCAATATAATTAAGTTGAAATATTTTAGAGGTGTACGTGTTTCTTCTGAGCCGCCGCCTTTGCCTTCTTCTGGTACTGATTCTTTGTTTGGTTATGAAACTCTACCTGATCAGCATTGTCGTAAATATCTTTATGCAGTTCGATTTATCAATCTTGTTAAGGCCAAAACACCAAAAGTCACATTTTATAGCAGATTGACCAAATTCCAATTAATGGAAACTGGAGCTGATTTTGAGGCATGCTTCTATGATGGTAAGAATTTATAGGCTGATTTTTTAAATTATTTAAATCTGAAATTATCATAATGTTTATTTTCTCTAATATTCTTATCATTTATAGGTAGTAAAATATCTAAAAATGCTGTAGAGGGTATCAAAATTACCATACCGGATCAATGCCCATATTTATGTCCTTATGACCAGATACCAAACTTATCTAATCCTGATATGAGAAACATGTGGGAACACTTTCTTGAAGTAAATAAATTTATGTTAATTTTCAATTTTTGCATATTTGTGTTAGTTGAATTTTTGAATATCTTGGCCATGAACCTAATTATTGTATAATCAATGGTTTCTTTTAATGGTGTAGATCATTTGGCTAATAATATTTATAAACAAAACTATAAAACAAATTGTGCTTTCTGATTATTATTCCTGGTTGTTCTAATTCAAAACAATGATATTTTATTCTTTCAATGTTTTTAGTGTATGACACAGTGTCAGCGTTTGGATTCTCTCTTATCATGGAATAATCCTTGTGGTCAAAATTTTCCAATAGTGGTAGGTAAACGACCACCAGCCAGTACTGATAAATTGGATGCAAATAAAGAAAATTTTCCACATTTGGAGCATAAGGATTTAACTGAATTTGTAAGTATGATTTATTAGTAAGATTATTATTATATCACTTCTTGTAGATTTTTACTTTAATATTCAGCAATATAAAAAAATAATGTTATATATAAATAAATATTCATTTTTTAAAATAAACTATTCCATAACTATTAATAAACAATAAACTATTAATAAACATACATACAATCAGCTTTTGGATGAGTATTTGTAAATGGAATGAGACTGATAAAATATTTTTCATGCGTTTGTGAACCGATTTTTCACCATTTTGTCAACGTTTTCTCAAAATCGGCTGAACGGATTTAAAAATTTGAACTCCATTCGATGTAACTCGATAAGGATTAGCTTTTTTATCAGTTTTGCGTGACGGTCGGTCATGCCGTTTCTTTAAAATCAGCTGAAAAGTGAAAAATTTATCGTCCGTTTTTATCACGCAATTATGAATTGATTTTAAAAATTGTTTGAAAATAGTGGTTAGGAATCATGCTGATTAGTTTTTGGTAAAGATCGGCCGGGCCGATTCCTTGTAATTAAATTTTTTGTCGATTTTTATGAAACATTTTTTGGCGATATAGAACATACTAAAATATTACTATTTCTCTAGAATTAGCAGAAAGGTGGGAAATATTTGGCCATGTTTTAGCCAAATTATGAACCGATTTTGGAAATATAAAATTGTGCTGATTAGTTTTCGATAAATATCGGTTAAAAAATTCGAAAATATTACAGTCCTATCAAAAATGGTTTAATTATAAAATTAATTAAAGGTTGGATTAAGAGGCCACGCTTTAGAAAATACTCTCTGTATGTATTAGGTATGTTCTATTTAGGTGTTAGGAGTTCGTTTTTCAATAATGTGTAATAAATAAAATTGATCTATATTGAATAATCTGCAATAGTTTCTTACATTATAATGCTTCACAGTAACTAGGTATACTTATAAATCACTCATATATTTATGTATTGATTTCTTATTAAGTTTATTATTTATTCATGTGGGAAATTTTATGCAACTTGCCTTGAGGCAAAATGCCACAAGTAGTTTGAATAAAATTTAATTTTTGCGTAATTTAATTAATTGGTGATGCAATTAATTATTGAATCTTTTAAATATATATATATATATATATATATATATATATATATCATTGTACATATTTTATATCTAATCCGTTATGTAGGAGTACATTCACTGTGTATTGTAGCAAATGAGAAAAACTAAATTATTACAGACAACGCCTCAGTTTGGTACGACATCATCCACAGTGAGTGCAACCCGTTCTGAGCCTCCAAGTAACTTTGCAATAACTGCCGGTATGTCCAATGTTCGCAATCAAGCTGCAAGAAGAGTACAACCAACTCACACATCTTCTCCTAGAAGCGTACAAGTACCTGGCATAGGCGTAGCAACACAAGTAAGGAATTTTTATATAATTAAATCAGTTAATTCATAATCTATTACCTTTTTCTTAGACTAAGTGAGTAGTAAACTGTTCTTACAATTGTTACTAATTTATTATACAATAAGTTTATGATAACACTTCTGAAAACAGAACTTTCTGTGGAAGTATTTTGATTAAGAATATTTTGTGGTTTTGAAATATTTAGTCATATGATACACAAAGAATTATTTAGGAACACAACAAAACATAAAATTTACAATGTTTTTAATCAATTCAGAGCATATAAATTTCTCTTGAATATTAGTTCATTATATGATCTTTCTTTATAAATATAAATGGCTAAGCACAAACAACTCTGACTCAATAAAAGACAATTATTTGTTTATAAAGAAACATGTTAAAATAATAATAATTCAGGATAAAAAAATAATATGTTATAAAAATTAGTTTATTATAACCAAATTTTTAATACTCAATTATCTGATTCTTATTTTAAACAGCTGCTTTCTGGCGAAGTTCAAGTTCAATACAATGATGGTGCTGTTTTAACAGTACCTCCAATATCTCCTGGTGCTGGTATTCATTATGCTGTTGGTGGGTATGCGGCACATTTTAGGCCAGAAGATGATCTACCACCTAAGTTGAGAGAAAGATTAGAAAAAATATCAACTGTTATTGAACATTTGAAAATGGCTCAACCTGCACAGCCGACACAAGCAACTAAACGAAGACCAGGCTTAAGAAATTGATTGCAATACTAATATATAGCTAATATAATTGGGGAGCTTATACTAAATGGTTTGATCTCGTACTATGTTACAAATTTGTTCAGGTTTGGATGCTTATGTATTATCAAATTTTATATTTTTTTTATCTCTGAACTGTTTTATTGAACAATTTTTAACTTGAGCATTTTGATGAATTTTATATATGGAAACATATGCAACAATTATATTATAAGTTTATGTAGAAAAATATACATTGAAAAGAAAATAAAATGTAATGAAGAAATATAATGAAAAGAGAATTTAATTTAGAAATATTAGATTTTGATTTGGAATGTATTTCATATGTTACTAAGTATTAATAATTAAACTTGTTGTTAAGTATATTGAACAATTATACATTGGCATGTTTTTAAAAGCACAAAATCAATTAACCTGTACTGCTCGCAATAATTCTGAAATCATAATAACGTATTATATATTCTAGTATTTGCAAGAAGAATAATTTCATGTTCGGACACAAGTGGATCTATAAAGCCGGCCCTCAAATTGCTTTTAGCATTTCTATATTTTGAAATAATAAATTACAAATGAATCTTGCATAGTGACACAAACTTGTGTTGATTCCTGCAGTTATTACAAAAATTATGCTCTACTTTTTTTAGCATATTGAGATGAAAATATAATTTTCAAATGGTTTCAATTTCAAATAAATATATTTTTTAATACTTAGTGCACAGTATTATACACACAAAAAATTATCTATAACAAAAACTCACTTAAAAATAAATATTTATTTCACATTATCTAATCTTTTACATTTTAATCGTCATCTTCATCAGGTAGTTGTGGATACATAATTGATTTCTTTCCACTATCTTCAGCAGGAGGTTTATTTTTATTATTTGCGGAAAGGATAGCTCCAGGACTAGGATATGGCCTCATTTGATATAGTGAACCGCTGGCAGTTGTGTCAACACCAGTTTTTGCTTCTGTCTGATTCTGAAGTCCCGATGCCCAGTTGCCCCTAGGCACATCAGAATAGGAAGAGGGATCCATAGGATCTAAGGGCGTACTTTTTACTCTTTCTTGTTGTCGGGCGCGTTTTGAAGACTTTGACTCTTGCTGCGGGGGATGCGGCCTCTTGAATTCTCGACCAGACTGTTGGTAATGAGGTAATTTTCATTATTTTTACTTCAAAATTTATTAAAATAAGCAAAAAGTATTAAATATTTATTGTAATAACAAACAGTTTGATATTGTTTTTAAATTTCCAAGCATGAAGGCAATTTCATTAGCATTGAATATTTTGCATTTTTACGTATACCTGGCATATTATCAGTAGTATATCAATAGTATAGTACAATTGTTATTCTGTATTTAAGGATAACTTACCTTTTCTTCACGTTTAGAATCATATTTAGAAACAGTAGATTCCTCCTCACTACTGCCTGCACCGCTGTCGTCACTTTCATCACCTTCTTTCATCAACCTCTCCTCTCTTAAAGCTGATGCACTTTCTGTAATTATTGCTTTTGGATGTGCTGGTGGCAACCAGGACACCAAGTCATTTGATGTGTCCCAATAATAGTGTCTCCCACTGAGAAAATAAAAAAATATGTTGATAAGTACAATACAATTTTATTGATCATATATTGTACTTACACTCCTTTGTCATAAACTTCTTTCCAATTATCTGGCAATGGATACTTCATAAGCATCCTCATTTTCTTTTCCAAATGTTTTACATCAGGTTCTGTATGACCGTTTTTCCACTTTTTTACACAATAATGTGAACAATCGTGGTAAATGTTGTATTTATTAGGACAATTTTCATATCCTTTTATTTTGAAATTAATATCTAAATCAAATTCATAATCTTTTTCTGCTGGAATGTATGACTTCACTGGAATTTCTTTTTGTGGATTTGTGGGTGCAGTTTCATCATAATCCTCGGCAATAATTTCTTCAGTTGGTTCAACTGGATAGAAATTAATAAATTTTTGAGTTAAAAATGTGAAATAATTAATTATCATTCTCTACATAACAATCACAATTATTTGTACATTTTAGAATAAGTTTGCTTTTTATATTGCAAACTGCAAAATAATGAAAGAAAAATATATATACATGTTAGGGTGGTTATTAACACACTATAGGCGGGCCCCGTAAAATTACTCATCGGACCAAACTGATATGTGTAGCGGGCAAATCGCGAGTAACACGAGTGCTCTTTCCGTCGCCTCGCATGAACACAACTGGCTGTCACATTAAACACACTTTTTTTATAACTCTTTTTCTGTTTTTTAAAAAAAACCGTCTGGTTGTTTTGAACTATAAAAAATGTATTTAATTAATGCATAATTGAACATAAAACTAACAAAATCTAGTGGCGTATGGCATCGTACCTTAAGGCAAATTGCTGAAACTTCCTGTATCGTAACGAAATGTTCGAGGAATATTGAGTATTGAATGAAATATTTTTTTCCTAAAGCAATTGTTTCGTCAACATAATCAGAGTGTTTTTTGAATCATTCAATTCGGATGCTTATTTCTCTCAAAAACTGACATTTTGTCTACATTTAGCTTCATATCTTTGAAATGGCTGAACCTGCCTTTGCCAAAAACTGATCACGACTTCTCCCAATCATTACTAATTGAATGTTTTTAGATCATTCAAATCCGATGCTCTGTTCTCTCAAAAACTCGATTTCTATTTTCTGCACTCTTTGCTCTTTATCTCTGTAACTGCTGGACCTGCTTTTGCCAAAACTAATCAGCACATCTTCATAGCAATAGAATCGAATGTTTTTTGAACCATTCAAATCGGTTGATCCGTGCGCCCGAAAACGTGAACGAAAAAATGCGGCCACCAAAAACACACACGCACACACATAGACACATCAATTTTTTCTGAGGTATGCCAAAATGTTCAGAAACCTCCAAACTCCAAACCGTGGAAAAATGCAAAAAAAGTTATTCTTGATTTTCCGCTCATTACTATATATAGGTTAGTTATAACTAATCTATGGCAAGTTAAAAATTTAACGTACAGTAGATATATAAACTACTATTTACATGGGTGAAATTTATGGAAAAAATCACCCTTATAAAAAGGTGCTGGGACTCGAATAGCAAAAATAGCTGAACCACTTCAATTACACTATTTGGTTCCAAAACAGCTTTGACCTAAAAATGATTCAATAATTGGAGAATTGTCAAATTTTGGCCACTCCACTTCTTCATTGTCACTGTCACTATTTTCAGAATCTCTGAAAATAATCGTTAACTCTACGTGTTCTAGGATGAAAAAAATCTTCATCACTCTGACATACACTACCAAAATCAGTGATATCAAAATCACTTCGAATTTGTGATAAATTATCGGCGCAAACTTTACTATCGCTGTCCGATGTCATTATTTTATTACTGCAAATAACAATGTAAAAAAAGTTGAACTATACAAATCTGACTAATAACTGAAATATTTGATAAAATATATATTGAACACCCTTTTATTGTTGTAAATTCTGCATATTTATCTACAAAACAAATTGCGAGTAGCTTGCATGAAAAGAAACTTGAAGATAAAACATATTGTTTCTTATCCTTATTCTTATTCCATAAGTCTTTCAATACGTAAATCTAGAAATCTAATTAAATCTAGAAAAAAGTACCAAATGTCATATGCAAACCGATCAAATAAATGTATTTTGACCCGCTTTTAAAGTTAGTCTATTCAAAGCGTAATAATACCTTGCCCGCCGATAAGCAACAGTCCTCGCAGAACGTAATTTTACGCTGCCCGCCTATAGTGTGTTAATAAGGATATTTTGGATTTTTTTGCTCCCAAGGGCTCATTTAAAATGATACAAAAAACTCTCTGAAAGTTTTAACTTAAGATAGTCTGCACTCCAACCAAAGTTTCTTATGGAAATTACATGGGTAAAATTCCAACTTCTTTTTAGAAATCTATAACTTAACGACAAATATAAAAAATTTTGAAAACAGCATTGTATTTGTTCATTTTGATCATAAATAAAAAATTTATAACAAAGTTCAGAGCTAAAACTTTCAAAGAATTTTTTGTTATCAATTGGGAAGTATTTGAGCCTCTGGTAGCAAAGAAATTCGAAAATATCCATATTAAGGACCAGACATTAAGGTGGTAAATACATTTATATATTTACTGTTATAAATAACTTTGAGATTTTAATTACTTAAAATGAGATAATAAAGTTAAGAGATTTTAGTACGTACATGTATTACTTCTAAAAAGTGTGATCAAATTCAAATTCTTTAATTTTTTTTCTACTTCACCTTGTTCACAATAACCGTGATTACATGATTTTCTTGCGTTAATACATGACAAATATTTTTTTTTTTATTCAGAGTTCAAACATACCGGGTTGTTCATTTTGTGGTACAGCTATACCCCGTTTGGCTAATCTTGCGGCTAAGGCTGGAGGCAATGGCATATTGAGAATAATTGAATCTACAATTTAATATTCACCAACTCTAAATAACAAAAGATCAAAGTTTAATTGAAAAATATGTAAAAGTTCATGAAATAATGTGTTTACTAGGGGTGTTTACTTTTGGCTACCATCGTAACATACGTCTGTCAAAATGCAGTGCTACCATAAATATAATAATTTTTTTTTTTTTATTCTTTAAAAATTGAGTTACCCGATTGCATGCAAAATAGGGAACGGGCAAGCTCATAAAAATGTCAGTGAAAACGCCATGACTTCTCGGGGTGGCGAAAAAGTGCAAACAAGGATTCCAAACAAGATGGCGTTTGACAGGTTTTATTTCGTATTTTGACAGGTTTTATTCAAACTTATGTGCTTGTTAAAGATGGTTATTGCTTCTTATAATCGCAATTTTTATTTATTTCTAATAATAATGCGGCATATCTGAGTCACCAATCATGTGCGTATATAAGTGAAGAAAGCGCATGAATAAGAAAGTGAATTTTGTTATAATTAACGTTAGAAGAAATAAATTGCTTCGTTGGATAGATTCATTGAGGTATGTACTCATAATTAAAATGTATTTGCTATTGACCACCATATTAAAACAAACATGTGTTGCTTAAAGGTATGATAAATTTTCAGACAAGGCCATAAGATATTTTATGATTTGCATGTTGGTTATCAGCTGAACAAAGTTTAGATCTTTCTATTAGTACTTTGTTGCAGAATGAATCTCATATTGATAGATGTCAGGACTTACAGGATTTCTACACTGCAATTTGATTTGATTTAATTGTTTTGTATTATTGCATTACTGCAGGTATGTTTTGTTTTATTGCATAAAAAGATATTACTTTTAAAAGTTTTAGGAAGCTATTGTATCAGTATATGCACGGTTGAAGAATTTCTCCAAAATTTTATACCGATGAGCAGTATTTGCTAATATTGATAGAAGAGGGTCTCCTCCATAGATTGGTAATTATTTGTGTGAATGTAATATTACATACCGTTAAATTTTATACTTTAAATTATATGCTCTCAATGTTTTTTCTTTCAGATTAATTTAGGTACATATAAGAAGTATTCATCTTTGATTTCCAAAAGCTTTCAATTTATGTATTACATATAACATTTATGTACAGTTAATATTATTATACAAGCTAACAGTCATGATACATATATATTTAATCTAATATAAATTAACATTTCTTTCATTTACCATCCCCATCTTATCCAATAATGAAAGTTTGAAGATTCACCAAAATAGGACATAAAAAAACAATATTTTCACCAGAAATTGATAGTCCTTTGGTATATTACATAGAAGTTTTAAAATTTTCATTCTGTGTATGACTCATTCTACATGTATACGCACACTAGCTTCAAAGTGAGTTTAATTAATATCTCCTGGTGAAAGTAATCCGTTTTAAATTTAATTTTAAACAAATAGCATATGCACAAGTACTGCTATATTTATTAATTTGTCTAACTCAGTCCATATTGATGAAAATCCTGACTATAAAGTACAATTAAAAACTTTGTCTTTTTTACTCATGAATTTACCTTTGTCAGTTAATACAGCACATCAGATTTAGATTTTACTTTTTTTTATTACGCCCGAGAGTACATTAATTGGGTTGGAGTGATTCTGCCTAATGAAATAAAGCCATCTGGAGTGCAAATAAATAAGAACCTACTTTCAAATACCCTGGAAACTACCAACGAATGAATCTGAAAAGTAAAACCTAAAGCAATATAACTAATTTCTAACTTTCATAATTAGTGTTTTCTAAGAATCAAACTCACAAATGGATTTTTAATAATGTTTTTATGCATGTAAATATGATCATTTAAGCAAATATTGATTTAATTTACTAAAGCCTCTTCAAACTTTGAACTTTCAATATTTTCTGATTGAATATCCTTCCTGAATGTAAATAGTATGCATATTGGTAGTAGCAAACAAAATTTATATTTTGAATTTCATTATTCTTACCTCTGTTATTGTAAAATCATAAAAAATAAATGATGAAAATATGTAAGAAATATGAATTATTAAATGTTTAACCTAAAAATGCACGTTTTACGTCAAAACAAATATTAGTTGACAGCAAAGTCAACTCATAAATGTGTCATCCGCCATATTTGTTGGAATCCAAGTTGCACTTAAAATCCGCTAGAGGAGAGCTTGCCCGTTCCCTATATCATGTCCATGTGTTACTTATCCATATGTTTACATATCTATGATCATGGTGGTACATTAATAAATCATTCAGCGTGCTTGCATATCCGTTTCATGTCAGTCACCGTCACCGTTCAGCCATCAATTTTTAAATGATCAATTATTTCATTATAAAGGATTTATTAAAATATAACACTTGATAATTTTATGTTCTCATGGCGTTTCAAGTAATTCTGAAACTTTTGAGAGCTAAATTGAAAAAGTATGTGTTTGTACATATACTTTATGAGCTACAATTTTACCATTTGTGGACGTTTTCTCAAAAACAGGACGCTCGTTGATTAGTTTCTCGACGATACAATTAGCAGGTAAGTGGCAAAACTTTTGTTCATATTTTTGCAAAAAATTCTTAACCGATTATCAACATTCAGAAACCATTTGAAGACATCATTTGGAAATAGTTCTGATTAGTTTTCCGTAGTATTATGGTGTGGAATAATAGACAGCAACAAAATTTCCAAATTATATCGTCATTTCAATTGAAAAGTTTCTAAATCTCAATTCTTATTGTGTTTGTCACTTACCCACAGGGTAGAGCGGGGCATAAAGGTCCAGTTTGACTTTAAGCAATTTTATTGTGAAAACCAAACCAACTATATCACAATAAATAACTATGTGACTATAATCAGTAAAACTCCCAACAATAATTCATCATTGTAGAAATATGTTAATCCTGGTGTTTTTCAAAAATTTGTAACCTATTCTTTTTACCCCATAGTTGGCGTATTGAGACGGCCAACAGGTGCACTGTGTCTTATTTTATTTCAAAGGGATTTTTACAAAATAATAGCTGCATTATTCAATCAATGTAAATTTTTTAACATTGCAAATCATCTTGATATCGATCTGGTATTTCGTCAGAAGTATATGTACCCAGTAAACAAAATTACATCTAAACAATATGGATACAACATCGCGCCCGCGATGTGAGATATCGCTGCGCCGCATTCGTTTTTGTCGCATAGAACGTTAAACGAGCGCAAAGTGATGTTACATTTGCGATTTTTGTCGCGACTTTTTTAACACGTTTAATCGCATGTTGAACTGATGTTGACAAAACATGAAAACAACGTAATTGTGTACATTAATCCAATATTCTTTTCTGTACACACACATGCATGAATTTTTATTTTTAATTTATTAATAATAGACTATTTATTCAAGAATCATTTATTTATTCATAGATAATCACATATAAAAAAATGTTACAAATTAGCATCAATATTTGCGATTAAAGTTAAACTTATAAATGTTATAAATAGAAACTTATATATATATATATATATATATATATATATATATATATGTGTGCGTGTGTATTTTAATCAATCCTAATGTAAAGGCAACACATTTATTTAAGAAATTATTTATACATGAAAAATATTTAATTTTTTGACTTTACATTAAAATTGATTAATTTCTTCGTAGCATTTGGTTAAATATAGTGAATGTCATGTCTCAACCATCATTTTCTCGTGTCTTCATTATACACAAAACACTTGCAAACATTGAGGGTATTATCGTCTTTATTCTGAAGAGTTTCTAAAACAGTTTATATACAGAAGTCAAGTCATAATCCTTTGTCATTTTTCCACTGACTGTAATTCATCGATCGATTTGAAAAATTGTCAAGTACATTATTTTTAATCCTAGCTAACCGATCTGAAACATCATCCTGCATCTGATCTTCTGAAATTCACTAGATTTCTGCTTTCAGCATAATATTCGATTGACAATACAGCGGCAATGTTTTTTTTAACCTCTTCATTGAGAATTCCATTCATGTCATTCATAATGCTATAGAAATATAAAATCCAGTAAACATTAAATAATTAAATATTAATATAAATAACTATATGATGTACTTACGAGTTCATTTTTTTTTAACTGTTAATGGTTTCAAACTACAAACTTATTAAACAACTTTATGTAAAACGCTTTGATGTTTCTTTAATGTGAGCATGAGGCACCATCTTGAATTTTATTGTTAGAAAGTCCTACCTATAGATGTCCTAGTCATCCTATTAGTGTTGACACTCACTAGGCAGCAAAATTCATTAACTCACAGCATTTACATGAATCACAATGTTATTATTTTCATATTTGTTTCAACAGTTTGTATTAAAGTTATATATTTTGTTCACTATTAAATTAAAATTATGATTAATATACATTTGTAGAAGAAAAACTTTGATTAATTTCTATTCAAACATCCCGCCATCATGTCTTCAAAATCAAACTTCATAAACACACTTCTGGCAATACGAAACAAAAGTTTAAATATAAAAGTTTAGTACATTAACTTTTATTAATTAACTTTTTTCATTCACTTTTATCTGCAAACTTTTATTTCCTAGTATTTTGCACGCATTTTAATATAATACAAATTTTTAATTTAATTTTTAAATATAAATAAAAATTATATTGAAAATTTATAAAAAATATAAATAATTTCTATACCAAAAACTAAAAATTTAAAGATTCTACAGCTCCATTGTTCACTTTAGCATTTATCTATATTAACTATATAGTTAGGTGTTGAACTTATAAGTTCGTTTGTTGTTTTATAAAACAATGTGTAATGTGCATTCACTGAGATTTAGATAAAATGTTAAAACAATATTTGTTTTGTGCTCACAAATGCGATGTGCATTGAGATTTAGATAAAACATCTAAACAACATGATATTTTGTCACATCGCGGACATCGCGACGGGATTTTTTTCAAATGTTGTCAGCAACATCGCGTGTTTACTGGGTATACTTCTGACAATTGCTGATTAATATATTAATCAGCAATAATGGACTAACTTTAAGTTTTAACTAACTATTTATTAACTTTAGCTCTAGTAAAATTGCATTTTTAACTTAATTTACTTTTTTATTTGCTATTTTTTATTTTTTACACCTTTCCCAGTTGGTCCTTTTTAC